TACATTAATTTAAAATCTTTAAATGTATCTCGAATAGGGAGAAAACATATCAAATTGTGGAGATGGTACATTAAAACTACTAGAGTAATGTGACGATGGTAATATCATTAACAATAAAGATTGTTCATCTGAGTATAAAATTGGAGAGTTATAAATTTGTAATTCTGATAATAATAATTTTAAAATCTGTAAAAGTATCTATCAATCTAATAGATATGAAATAATTAGATTTAATAAAATTATATAAATTGTTATGTTTAAAAACCAGCAAATATGGTGATAAACAATTAAACATATCAATTTATTAAATTATTACATTTAATTAGAAGAAAATAAAAAAGATAATTCATAATCTCAAATTAATTTTGTATTTAGATTATATGAAACCTCATAAAATATAATATATTAAATCATATTTTACAGAATATTTGCTTTTGGATGACCAATTTACTCGATTTTATATTTAGAATTTTTTTGGAATGCTTTTCCACATTCATATCATGAGTTTTTGTGTCAATATTTGATTTTTAAATAATTCAATACATTCTATATTTATTTAATAGAAGGGAATGATAATTAACATAACTATCTGTTATTAACTGAAAGTAATATTCAAGAGAATTTACTTTTGAAACTTAGTTCAATATTTTTTAATTTTACTTATACATTACCTTTTGCATTTTATTTTATCCTAACTTATTACTACATATTTAAGGGATTTTTATTTTAAGATAATTTAGATTAAATATATTTTAAGGTGTTTAATAAATTTAAAAGGCTGCAAATATTTATGTACAATTTATTTGCTTTAAATTTTGCTTGTTAACACTAGTAGATTGTAGGTTTAGTCTTATATTATAATTAATAATTTATTTAGTTTTTAAATGATTTTATATTTTTTTTCTTAGAATGAATTGTAATGTATCAAAGTCAGGCTAAATAGCAAAAATATTGGTCAAATACACGAAACAATATTATTTAAGAAATATTAAATTGCATAATTTATTTAAATAATGAATTTTAATTTTCGCAATAAATGCCATTAGTAGCAAGAGTAAGAATAAACAAAAGAGTAGCAAGATAATTATGAATTTGATGGAATCATTTACGATTTTACTTGGAATCCACCCAGACAATTAAAAACTAAAATCTAAGCGCTTTACAGTAATAATGATCTCAGGTAATAGAGCTATTTTCAGAATGTAAAAGTATTTATTTGTTAAAATAGAAATTAAATTTAAGAATCATCTGAAAAGCCTGACTTCTTGACTAATTTAGAATAAATAAATCATTTAAATTGGATTGGAAAATATGGATAAAATAATTTAAAAATTGGTAAATGGAAACTATGAAGAAGCCTAATCTTAAAAGATGTTGGAGGGTATTACTCTCATGATAGGAGGATGTATATTTGTTTAAATTAAAAACAAGGCAAGCTTAGTTGAGGAATATTTCAACAACAAAATTGGAAGTAATATTATTAGAATGAAGTGATTAATTTGTCAATTTACTATTAATAGTGGTGATGGAATATATAATCAATAAGGAGAAAAGAATGGAAAATGGATTGAAGCCAATAATGGATTTGGATAATTTTCATAAGCTATTTACATTGATTAATCGCCTCAGCTAAGCTTTCCTAATTATTTAAAATTAATTTCACTTAAATTTCAATCAAAGCTTATGAAATAATTGGGCAATCATAGATTCTGAAGAAGATTAAAGATCTATTGCCAATAACTATTCTCCTAAAAAAACAAACTTATTTTATTATCAAATGAACATTTAATTAAAAATAGTACTTTTAGAAGTAATATGGTGTTAACTAATTTAGTTACCCTTTAATTATGATATACGACCTCAATATATTTTGTATTATAACTTGGTAACTTAAATTTTTAGATCCCTAATTTAAGTTTATTAAGATAATTAACTTTCTGTTAATTCCTGACAATGATTATGTGAAAATTAAGATAGCACTTTAAAGTCATGATATATAAAATATAATCTCCACTAATATATAATCAGACATACCAATTTAAATTTATGTTGTCACAAAATCTAAATTAGTTTATGTGTATCACATTGATTTCACTTACTTATTAGTTGCTATTAAGTAATTAAAGATTGTAAATTTTGTATTATATTATAATGATACAAAAACACAGAACAAATAGTCTTATTTTAATTAATCAATTTATAGAGCTTAGAAAATTATTATGAAAGTAAGGATGAAAAGCTGCTAATTGGTTATTTATTTGCTTTAAAGTTTAAACAAATCCATCATTTAAATCACTTGAATGAAGAAACTCTTTAACAGCTCATAATTTAAACAGAAAAAGAGCTTTCTATTAGTAATTGAAGGACAGTCTTAGTCTACACCAATGTGACTGATATTCATCATCAAATACTTGAAATCAAAATCAGCTTAAGATTATTTTATTAAAACATTAAATATCACATATGGAATTATCTAAACACTTTATCACAATATCTAAGCTATTGGGTATAATACTAAGTCTTGCAAATTTCAAAAAATTATTAATTAAGATTAGCTGCAGCAAATTCTTATATCAAGAGATATAAGCAGTACAGTTTTCAGAGATAAATGGCAATTTAACTGAAGGAGAAACAAAATAGTATAAATCAGATCATTGTTCATCAAATACAATCTTCAAACCTTTTTATATCTGAGTATACCTAAAATTATTTTTGTGATTTTTATCATCGATTATTTTGATATCATTCAGAGTTGAATTAATTATGTGGTCATACTGGTAATGTGAATCAAGTATGTATCTCGATGGATGGAACTACCTAAGTATTTGGTAGTGGAGATAACTCTATACATTTATGGGATATTAAAACAGGATAATAAAAAGCAAAATTAGATGGTCATTAAACTGGAGTCAACTCAGTATGCTTCTCTTCTGATGGAACGATATTAGCCTCTTGTGGTTATGATAAGTCCATTCGTTTATGGGATGTTAAGACAGGATAACAAAAAGCCTAATTGAATGGTCATAGTAATGGTGTCTTATCAGTATGCTTCTCTCATGATGGAAAAACATTAGCATCTTCCAGTGAATATAAGTCTATATATTTATGGAATGTTAAAACGGGAGAAAAAATTGAAATTTCAAACAAAAAGTATAAATATTATCAGGAATAATTTAAGACATTTTAAAATTAAAACAACCAACTTGCAGAAAGTATTATTTATTAATTTATTTTTAGTAACTTCTAATATTACTATACTCCTAATTTCGCAATAGGCAATATTTTAAGCATAAGGAGCCCTGATACTTAAAGGAGAATTTGTTAATCACTAAGGCATAAATATTAGCTCATTATTTAAATCAAAAGGAAGCTTTTTTTTGGATAAACCTTTAGAATTAAATTAAAAGAAAAATGAAAATTGTTTAATCTTTTGAATATTATAGAATTTTTTATGTTTTTTAGTTAATTTTTCAGGCTTTTTTGAATTCTAAGAGAATTATAAATAATTGGGCTTAGGAAATGAATAGACATTAATGAGGCATGATGAAATATGTTATTGAGGCTAAGAAATATTGTAGGCTCCATCTACTAAAGTTCAATAGTTTAAGATAGGCCAACTTTTATCTCATAAAATAGCATGTATATATGATTGACATTTTAAGAGTGCTAATACACAACAAATTTTAAACACACAATCAATTAATTCTTTTATTTTTATAATTGAACTTATACTTTTTAGAGGATAAAAAAGTTAATACAAATCCGTTATTTTATTCTCCTGTATTCTATGATTGATTAAGTTGTATGACAATTTAGGTTTTCATAAATTAGACTTATTCAAAGTAAAATAATATTATCTCCATTTGAATAAAAATAATAAATGTTAGATACTGTGACTTTAAGCAATTACTGAATTTAAGATAAGTACAAGAATTTTATAGAGTACTTCTTTATCCTTTAAAGCAAATAATTAATTGTTTATTGAAATTGCAACGAGTGACAAATTGTTAAGATAGAAATTTTTACAAGTCATTTGATTTATCTATCAAACAATAATGATGAATACAAAATTATCAATAAATTTCTAGGATATTTGTATTATTTATTGTGAAGGTTTATACTTTCAGTTTAATTTTTATATTTTTTAATTCTAAAATCATTAAATTTATAAAAAAATTAAACTTTAGTAAATAGTTTAATATTTTTGATTTTATGTTTTTATTCTAAAAAAAATGTTGCTTGATTTAATAATGGATATAATTTATAAGTAACTCGAAAGAAAAAAAGAGTATATATATACACCCATAATCTTTTATATAACAATATATAATGCTTAACGCACTTAAAACGATGTCATGATATTTAGAGACTTATATAATCTA